TCTTCTAACTTTCTTTTTTGCCCCTTTGCTTTTTTACTTCGTCATAGATTATTTGAGTGCAATCTTAGAATGAGAGGCACAGTGCGGCGTTTAGAATAAGTTAAGCGTGCGTATGTGGGATATCCCATGCGATTTGTATTAAGTTAATGTATGTGTATGTGTGTGGGTGTAATACAAGTTCTTTACTGGATTGTGGTAAAGAGCTTGTATATGCGAGCCTATGAACTAAGTAGTGTTAGAACTCCCGATAAAGGTAGTTGCAATTGGAGGGTGGTTGGGATTTGGAGTTAGGGTGGGTTACTGTCGTAGCAACCTCCACGTGGTGTGACCTGGTAATCGATATCGCTTTCTAAACATTTTTATAGAAATGTTTAGAAAACGATATCGAGCTAATAGCTACGAATTAAATTATAATTGCATTTATTCCATATTTTCTTTTACGAAAATATTTGGATCAAATTCCATAATTATCAAAACCTAGAAGATTTTCAAATCTTATAATGTATTTGTAATAAATTTTCTGTACATTACTAATATTGTCTTTTGAGATATTATTGAGCGAGCGAGCCGAAGGCAAGCGAGCCGAAGGCAAGCGAAGCTCTTATACTTGACTTTGCAACTTCTTTGTCCGCGTTTTTCTTTTGCACCACTCAACCAATTCTCATCAAATTTTGTACACACATGCGTATGTTCATCCAGATGGACATAGAAAAAAGATTTTAAATCGGACTTGCCACGGAGGAATAATCACCGAAAAAACTGATCCTCATAGTCTGCAATGTAAAAATTGAATTTGCTCGCGCTTGGAATTTTCATTATTGGCAATATTGCAAAACACCCGCCGCTTGATATTCAACACATACATTTTAAAAACACTATTTCCGGATAAATATACAGTTTTATACATATATCTTCGTTCAAAAAATATTTTTGGATATATCGAGACCAACTTGAGGCGTCCAGGTTTAAGGGGTGAGAAAATTTAACTCTGGGCTGAAATACACTCTTGGAAATGAACGGTCAATTTTGAACTTTCACCCCTATGCGCAGTAGCAAATCGTTACAAATAGTGCAGTTTATGCACTAAAAAATTAGCATCCATTCTAGCGGCGAAACGGGTGAACTAAACCTAAAAAATGCACAACACGTATATAAGGAAACTAAAAAAATGAATATTTCGGCACTTTGACGACGTAGTATGGTTCCTGAGGCATTTAGAAACAAATTTCTATTAGGGTTTGATGCGTTTTGATGCGTAATAAAGGCAGAAAATCAATTTTTGTTGAAAACGATACAGGTGGCGCCATCTAGCGGCGAACGGCGGAACTACGAAAAACTAAAATTTCGATTTTCTCCAAAATTAGGCAATTTTCCGTATTTCTGAGGGTCATAAATTGTTCTGTAACCTCTCTAGAATCTATATAATGTCACAAGAACCCCCTAAAAGCGCTAGAAAAGGAAATAGAAAAATAGGCTAGGACCATTATTAAAGAAAATAGAAAAATAGCCCATTTCATGGACTAAAAAATTGCCGTCCATCTAGCGGTGAAAGTTGGAACTACAAAAACATAATAATGCGATTTTCTTGAAAATGAGCGAACTTTGAGTACTTCTGAGGCTCAGAAAGTGTTATGTGAACGCATTAGAAGCAAAATAGAGCAATAAAAGTTTCCTGAAAGCTTAAATAAAAAAAATAAAAAAAATGTCATTTTATGGAGAAAATTTGTGGCGCCATCTAGCGGCGAAACTGCGAACTAAACTGAAAAAACGTATGTCTGAACAGGCAGTAAAGGGGTCAAATAAAAATTGATTTTCTGGGTTTGATAGGCCAAAAAATGAATAACTTATTCGACAAAAATTGCTTTGAAGTGTCTAAAGAAGCGTACTACGTCATCAAAGTTGCAAAATATTACTTTTTATATTTTTCATTAACGCGTGAACGGGCATACGTTTTTTCAGTTTAGTTCGCAATTTCGCCGCTAGATGGCGCCACAAATTTTCTCCATAAAATGACATTTTTTTTATTTTTTTTATTTAAGCTTTCAGGAAACTTTTATTGCTCTATTTTGCTTCTAATGCGTTCACATAACACTTTCTGAGCCTCAGAAGTACTCAGAGTTCGCTCATTTTCGAGAAAATCGCATTTTTATGTTTTTGTAGTTCCAACTTTCACCGCTAGATGGACGCCAATTTTTTAGTCCATGTTTTGGACTATTTTTCTATTTCCTTTTCTAGCGCTTTTAGGGGGTGCTTGTGGCATTATATCGATTCTGGAGAGGTCACAGAACAATTTCTGACCCTCAGAAATACACAAAATTGCCTAATTTCGGAGAAAATCGAAATTTTAGTTTTTCGTAGTTCCGCCGCTCGCCGCTAGATGGCGCCACCTGTACCGTTTTGGACCGAATTCAACAAAAATTGATTTTCTGGCTTTATTAGGCATCAAAACGCATCAAACCCTAATAGAAATTTGTTTCTAAATACCTCAGGAACAATACTACGTCGTCAATGTGCCGAAATATTGCACTTTGCATGCGTAGTAGAATTGATACAGGTGGCTCATATACGTATCGGAATGCTGACACAAAATAATTAATTACTCGTTACCCGAACATTATTTATGAACTTTTGTGATCGACCCATGTAAATAAGGCATTGCTGACCATTCTTCCATCATAAAAGTGCACAAAATATATCCACAAAAAGTGTAATTAATTATTCAAAATGACCTCATGTATACCGCTTGTCACCGTGGCTGGTCTTAGGTTATTAGTTAATAACTAATTAATTTCATTAGAAATCTGAACAAATATGATACGAGAAAGTAGCTGAAGGATCACTGAACATTCTTTTATAATAAAAGTGCATAGACTGTGCTCAGAAAGTGAATAATTAACGATTTTGCATATTCATTATCGTGTATATTCCTCCTGCGCGCCGCCCGCGCACGCCTCGGAGGAATAATCACCGAAAAACCATATCCCCGTAGACTTTAATGCAAAATTGAATTTGCTCGCGCTTATTGCGCACTTCCTCTTCCATGAGTACCAACTTACTCAACAATTTTACTCTAAAATCTATCGTAGACAAATCAGACCGTTATAAAAAGTACGATAAAATATTATTAATTCAGATAATATTTATATTTAATGAGAAATATTACGTGTTTAATTTGCATAAATTATTCCATAGATGCAATATATGAAAATCATGAGTGTTGGTGATTTCTTTTTTTGCCATTGGTGGCGCTGCTTTTCTACATCGCCATCAGAAAATGTGCAATAAATTCAAACTGTTTTCAGTTGAATTCCAGCACCACTAGGACGAAGGGGACGAAGTATTTTTAACGTAGTGATAACTTTTTACATGCGAAACAAAATGCCGAACTTTCAGCAGCAATATAAAGGAAGAAGATTTGGTTTCGGTAATACGGAAGAAAGTCGATTAATTCGTGCTGAGAAACGGGAGGAATTACGTAAAGAACAGAGAGCCGGAGCTTTCAATGTAAACAGAAATATTACAAATTCCACAAATGCATCAGGGAGTACAGGTTTGTACAAGAATTTCGTGGCATTTATCAATTGTATCGTCATTGTTTATAATTTGACTAATTTACTTTTAGAAATGCAATTAACTGTGGGTGAAGATCGCCTGACGAGGTTGAAGAGGTGGAAAGAAGAACGTGAGAGACGTAAAAAGATTGAACAGATTAAGAAAAAGCCACCTTTCAAAGTTGGGGTTGTCCATCATAAAATATATTCTCCTGTAACCAGTGATCAACCAGTAACATCAATTACAACTCATGAAAAAGCACGCAATCAAACTGCAGCAGCTGTACCAAAAAGAATTACACGAGCAACTGAGAAACGGTTAATGAGAAAAGCTGTTTCGAAAGAAACACCAAACCAAATAACCAAAACTGTGAAGCCTTTAAACCAAGAAGAAAAAAATAAGAAAAAGCAAAGGCAGTCTTTTGCACCTGTTGATCATAAATTTAAAGCCCCAACCGGATTACCAAATATACCACTATTTGGCAGAGTAGCTATACAAAGCATGTCACCTTCTAAAGCATGCGAAGTCTTTTCATTGTCTACAAGTATGCCAGAAACAAGTAGAAGATGTAGTACCACAAAATTTGTTGTAGAAGATATTGATAATGAAAAGCATAGTGAAGAGGAAAATGAAAAGGATAATGTATCAGAAAAAGATAGGGAGGATTCAGATGATAGTTCTATAGAACCAGTCTTATTAAAATTGTCTGATGATGAAACATTTACCTGTCCTAATAAAGATAATAGTCATGATAATGACAATGTCAATAACTTAATAGAAGAAAATAATAGTATATATAATAATACTATAGAAACACTTTCTCCTTCGAAGAACAATTTAATTGCATCAACGCCATATGATTCTGAGAATGTACCAGTATTTTTGCCATATGTAGTTTCTAGTCGTGGGAAAATCAATGCCAGAAAAGAAGAACAGATAAGACGTGGATTTAGTTTTAGTCATTCCAGAGATGATGATATTCCTACAAAGGATACTATTAAAAAATGTTTAAATATATCTGTTGAAGAAGAAAAACGAACAGCTCAATATTTTCAATTTCTTTTAAATAGAGAAATAGATAGATTAAATGAATTATGCACAAAATGGACAGATATCAAAGAGGATGTTACAACTACTGAAGATGGACAGTATGAGATTAATCAAGCTATCGGACAGACAAACCTGTTGATAAGTAAGAAGTTTGAAAGATTTCGTGGATTAGTTGCTGACTGTGAAACAGGAAAGGGAGAAATGTTAGTCACGTGTAAAGATTTGCAAGGATTTTGGGATATGATGTACATGGAAGTAAAAAATTGTGATACTAGATTTGAGAAGTTAGAGAAACTTCGTTCTCGAAATTGGGTAGAAGAACAAACTCCTGCCACTAAAATTGTACCTAAAAATAAAAGCAAAGTCACTACAAGAAAAAAACCAGTGACTACAAAACCAAGTTCAATTAAAACCTTTTTGACAGAAAAGAGAAAGAATCTTACACAGCAAGTAAAAAATAATGATAATATGGAAAAATCCAAAACCCTAAATAACCAGGGTTCAAATATTATTTCTCAAAGTAATACAAATAGTCCTAGTATAAAAGATAAAATAAGAAGATCTACTATGTCTTTCCAATCTACAAAATCTACACCTATTAAACAGAGTAAAACAAGATTAAGTCTCCTGCAACAGACACAATTACCTACAGTATCAAAATATATCACAACTCCATTGACAATGATGAAAGTAAGTCAACTAGGAAAAACACCAGATGTTCAGTTGGATAGTACAATATCTTACATTAATTCTGATCAAAAACCAAGAAAAAGTATTTTGAAAACACCAAATTTAAGCAGAATTGCTTCTGCAAAATCGACAAGTAAAGTTAATTTTAATGATCACAACATAGTCTTGAATGAAGAACCAGTTGACGAAGAAACTCAAATTAAAATGGATTTAGGTGCAGCATTGGCCAGGATAGATAGCTTTAACTTTGATAATGCAGATGATGTAGTAGTCAATGCGGAAAAGAAACTTAATTTTGATGATGACAGTTCTGAAGCATCTGATGATGTTACTCTACGCAATTCTGTGCTAATAAAAATAACAGATAATACTCCATTAAAGCACTCAAATGGTATTATATCATCCCCAAGAAAACGTTTAGTAAGACAAAATGCTATAGACGAAGATGACACGAAGTTAGATGAAATTAATGTAACATTGGATAAAAATGACATAAAATTAGATAAAAGTGACATGAAATTGGATACAAGTGACATAAAATTGGACAAAAGTGATATAAATATTGATAATAGTGACACATTGTCAGCTGAAAATATTATGTTGAATGTTACTATAGATAAAGTTGTAGATGATACAATTTCACATGTACAGGAAGATGTTACTATACACGATGAGAAAGAAATAAATATGCATAATGAAAGCATAAAAGTTTTAAGGAATAGGGTTATTACTGCAGTAGATACACCTAAGTCTAGAAGATCATTAAAAAAACTATCTGGTATTCAACAAGAATCCGAGCAGAAAGAAAATAAAACTCCTGTGATGAACACGAGAAGAAGAACTACTGTTAAAATTAGTACTGCAAGTAAAGACGAGGAGGATTTGGAGAAATCTTTAAATAAAGTATCTTTAAATGAAACCAGCGAAAAACGGAAATCTCGCCGAAGTGTTAAATTTTCTGGTACAAGCAATTTTTATTAAACTGGTAATATTTTATTTTTAGTTACAATATTTCTATTCACATGTCTTGTTATAGAGAGTGATGCTAGTGGTAGTGTTCCAAGCAAGTCGGCATTACCGATGACTCCTCATATTAGACGAAGCAAAGCAAAGTCTAGTGAAAAACAGAACGCAGATCTTATATCGTGGGAAACACCAGATAAACGTAATAATTTTTACTCACTTAATCTTCTTTCTTATTATATAATTAATAATAATTTGCATTTCAGTTCCAGATCGAGTTAGAAGATCTCGAAGTAGAAAGTCAGAATCACGAATTTAAATTTAAAAACTTACCTTAAACTTTTAGTTATAAAAACAGTATAAAGTTTGTATATAATATTTATTAAATGAATTCTTTACAATTGTTTTTTTTAAATTAAAGACATCAGCAGGGTTGAAACAAATTTTATTTATTCTGAATTCCAAATACGTCGTCGTCGATAAAGAAGATATCTTAAAATTTAATACAAAATTGATATAGTAGGATTTGACATAAAAATGGTAATGGTTACCAACGCAGTTTTTATCTTCTTTCATCGTTTACTGCAAGGTGGTGCCAATGATATTATTTTAAAAATCGCGCCCTTTCTAAGCTTCAAAAATATAATAAGACTATAATATTCTCAATTTATTAAATTATTATTTAGTTATATTATTCATTTTATTAATTATTTTAAATTATTATTTATTTTTATTAATTACTTTATAACTATTTTGTATTAGTACTACATAAATGAAACAGCTATTGCTTTTTAATTAAAAAGACAAAGTTAAAAGACTAATATAATGGAAAGAACAGTTTTATTATAAACTAGCAATAATTTTGGAAGACGAAAGCAAATAAAAATGTTGTCTTCCATTACTTATTACAGCAAATACTGCAAATTCAAAAATATACTCGAATATTTAATTCTCAATAATATTGACTTTATCTGTTCACACATTACGTCTTGCATACTTAAATATCATAATGATATTAATACGCAGTAGATATCTGCAATTCGTATAACGAACCAACGAAAATAATGCAAATTTTTCTGTTAAATACAGTGCAATTCACTAAACGCAAAAATATGCTTATTTTTTAGCAGATAATGCAAATTATGGAAAGGAAGGATGCACTTGTTGTGTTCAGTCTCGTCACCAGTGTTTTTTAAACCCTAGGCAAATATTGACATTTTCTATTTTATTATAGAAGTTTTGTTAATTTTGTTGGTTTATAATTTGTAAAATTTGTACAATTTAAATTTTCAACTTTAGAAATTTAGGAATTTGGGAGGTTTGGAAATGGAAATGTAAAAATTTAGGAATTTGGAAATTTGGAAATGCAAGGTTTAGACTTTCAAAAATTGGAGATGTGAGAATTTGGAAATTTATAAATTTAGAGTTTGAGTGTTTGGGAATTTCAGAATTTGGGATTTTGAAATTTTGAAATTTGAGAATTTGAAAGTTTTGGAATTTGGGGGTTTTAAAATTTGGAAATTTGGAATTTGGGGGTTTTAAAATTTGGAAATTAGGAATTTTGAAACTTTGAGAATTTGAATATTTGAAAATTTGAAACTTTGAGAATTTGAAAATTTAAAAATTTGAAAATTTGAAAATTTGAAAATTTGAAAACTTGAAAATTTAGAAAATTTCAGTATTTGGGTGTTTTAAAATTTAGAATTTTCAAATCTTAAAATTTTAAAATTTGAGAATTTGGAATTTTTAAACTTTGAAAATTTGAGAATTTAGAAACTTGCTAATATTAGAATTTGAGAGTTTAGAAATTTGCTAACATTAGAATTCGACAATTTCTCTATTAAAAAATTCCTAAACTTAATAATTTAAAAATTTCCAAAGCCGAATACTTGAAACAGTAATAAAAGAGCATCCCTAAATCCAGGGCCCATAACAAGTACCCCATTTGCATAACACTAAGAGCGTTACTGATTGCTCTAACAAGTTTTAGTCCGCTTTGCTTATATTTTTCTGAGAACCTGGTTTCGTATATCACAAGGAAGGTACAAGGTAAAGAAAAGCAAGCAAGAAATAGTGGAATCGGTTCCCCAAGCTTCACCATCTGTTTTCATTTGAAAGTATAGGAGGGAGAAATCAAGCTGGTAGTAAAAGTTAGATCTATTTTCATTTGCAATGGATTGCCGACAGACATGCATTCATGGCGGGAAGTAAACCGTGTTATCTATGCATACAACGTAATATCACGTTCTGGAATTCCTTGCATGGTTTCCAACCAAAAAATTATACACGTTTGAATATACTTCAAGCATGCTATATTGAATCTCTAAATTTTTACATTCTTAAATTTTCAAATTTAATATTTTTAATTTTTTTAATAGCAAGGTTTACAAATTTTCAAATTCAATATTTTTTATTTTTTAAATAGCAAGATCTACAAATTTTCAAATTTAATATTTTTTATTTTTCAAATAGCAAGGTTTACAAATTTCCAAATTCAACATTTTTTATTTTTCAAATAGCAAGATGTACAAATTTCTAAATTATTAAATGTTTCAAACGAAAGTTAAAAAAGTTCTCAAATTTCTAAATTACTAAACTTTTAGATTCTCAAACCAAAGTATCAAATTTAAAAATATTACGGGGTTCTGTGTCTGACAATAAGGCCGTAAAAGGTCTAACCGCAGCCTGCTATAAAACGAATGCCGATACAGTAACTTGTTTACGAGTGAATCTATTGCAACATAACTGCAACCTAAATTGCTGCTAATAATTTATCTTATTAGGAGCAACACCAAAGGAAAAGTTACGTAGCAGCTCAAAGGCTATCGATTATTCCTTTACTACAATAAGAGACGCAACTACAATACTATAACTCTAATTGAACACTCACAGACAAAAGTGGAATATTGTATAATGACAAACAAACAAAAATGAATAATAAATAATTAAGAATACTGAATTATTCATTAACTATAAATTATTCATTGCTTATTGTCATTGGAACAATGCTCAACTGATCCAAATCCAGGCTTATAATTACACCTTTTAAAATCTATCACGGTTCAAGGTTCACATCTTATCAGCACTCAGATGTACCCTCGGTGCAGTGAGTCATAAAATTGCTCTAAGCTATAATAAAACTTTAAAACTCTTATATTTTCACCTACAAGAATTCTCTAAAAATAGCAGCTGCAGGAAACTAATTTCTCCAGCTGCTAAAAAAAGGCTCAACTCAAGTTATTCGCGTTTAACCTTGCATTATCCGCGTCTTGCTTCATAAAACGATTTCCCACGCGTTCAATTCATCTTCTATTTTTTTTATTCAGTTACTTATCGTTTTCTAGTACGTCTTCACAGTACTGCATTCTTCGGTTTTAAATTAGTAACATAGTCAAAAGAATTGAATAATTCATGACTGCTTTACGACCTAACGGAGAGTTAAAAGATGCGAGCACTCTCGTCAGTACATACTGTTTTAAATATTATCTAATGTGTAAACAAGTCGAAACTTTCTCTGTTTCGAGTGGCCTCATGGCCCGTCTAATTGCTGGGAGAGGGATAGCTGATAAACAAGCTTAGTGCACGACTTCTGGCACGAACTCCGGTCGCAGCAATGGCGCAAGGTCCCTTATAAATGCGTGCGTGCGTACGTTCATGATTTCCAGTCAGTGGGAGGTCAGCCTTTCGGCGAGAACGATACGCGTTGCGTGGATCCCTTTTCCCCTTCCTTTCTTTCGCTCTTCCTCTTCCTATCTTTTCTTCTTGTCCCCAAACGCGTGCAGTCGATTCGAAGCGTGTCAACCACGCTCTGCATACTCGTATTTTCCACGTCTCTCAGACGGCTCAGTGTCTGCGTGGGCGGCGGTCCTTTGATGCACCGGATGAACCAACTACAGCTGCCAAATCGATGTAACGTGTCTTTTTTTACGAAAGAAGCCTCTTGTTTGCAAAGGGATCTTTCCCGATAACATGCCGGAAGTCTGATTTCTCGCTCCGTGAATCAAGAGTGCTTTCTCGAAAGGCGGTGTATTGTTATCACGGTTCGACGATTGCGAACGAAAGCGTGACCGGGGTCTCTTTATCGGTCGAGTGATTTTGAAAAACGGACGTCATTGATCGAATGTTTTAATCGAAATTCGAAACGTCGCTGCCTGCGCGCGAACAGTGCACGTGTACCTTGCCTGACATTTCTCTCGCGAGGCCTGATGAGTCACACGCTCTTACCGACAATTGCACTTCTGCGTCTGTAAACAGCTCCAAGAAACGACCGGTTGTGTAACGTAAGACGTGGTTCTGAAGAGTGTAGCCTTTGTTTTAGAATTAACAAACCTCGCGATAAACGTTGAGTCGATATCCGGTGCACGGCCGTCGCGAGCCTACATAAAAAGAGACCGTTAAAAATGAGAGAAGCGAACTGAAGGGAAGAAAATTATTCAAAAAGTGCTGATAAATTTCACGTTCGAGATGTGGAACGTGATCAGAGAATTTCTGGAGCAGTTCCTGTTACTGGGGCTGTTCCTCAGCCTTTTGTACTGCTTCCTCACTTCCACCTTCAACTTCTGGGAGATCCGAGGCGTACCCTTCAGGAAGCCCATCGTGCTTTTCGGGAACTACGCCTCGCTGTTGCTTTTCCGGAAGTCTCTGCCCGAAGGTATCAAGGAGATGTACGACTGGTTCAAGGACGAGAGGTACTTCGGAACCTTCCGCGTGAAGTCTCCCATTCTGATCCTGAGGGATCCCGACCTCATCAAGAACATCTGCGTGAAGAACTTCGCCTGCTTCTCCAACCGCGGCATACCAGTGAACGGCCAGGTAAAAAGTAGTTAGGTAAATTAAGTTTGATTAGAATTTAAGAGGTGAATCTGTTGGTCCATCAGGATTCGCTGTCCGCCCACTTGTTCAATCTGGAAGGGAAGAAATGGAAGAGTCTGCGTTGCAAGCTGACCCCAGCCTTCTCGTCCGGCAAATTGAAAAGAATGTTCTACCTGCTGGCCGAGTGCGGCGAGGAGTTTCAAAAATTAATCGATTCGTCCTCCGATCGGCCATTTGAGATTCGCGAGCTGGCTGCGAAATTTACGATAGACGTCATTGGTAGCTGCGCCTTCGGCATACAAATAAACGCGCTCACCGACGAGGAATCCGAGTTTCACAGGGCTGCGAAGAAGCTCTCGAGGCCGAGTTACAAGGCCACGTTATGGAGGATGCTTCGAACGGCGATGCCGAGACTTTATAAGCTTCTAGGTGTTCAGGTGATCGATCCTGAGGTGACGAGGTTCTTCAAAAATGTCGTGTCGCAGATGCTGAAGCAGCGGGAGGAGCAGGCGGTCAAGAGACACGACTTCATGGACTTGTTGATCGAGTTGAAGGATAAAGGCACGCTGGAAAATGAGTCGGGTAACGGGCTGATTGGCAACGAGGAGGATGCAGATACGGCTGAAGAGATAGGTACGCTAATTTGCTAGGTAGTGCAAAACGAAATGAAAGCGTAGAACAGGATAAACTTGCTCTATTTATGTTGGTCAAACCCTTATCGTTTATACAGATTACTGTTGAAAGATAAATTGTAAGCCTTAAATGCTGTTCACCTTAAGGTGGACTGAACTTGATACCTGTTTCCGCTGCAGATTATATTTTTTTTAAGTAGAGTAGTAGAATGTTTAGGATATAGGCAATTTTCTGAACTCATTAAGTCCGTATCAATTTCGAACTGGGATAATGTTATGTAATTGATAAATCTCTTGGGTCCATGTGTGGCTTATTCAATGTACGCTATGAACGACTACATATTCAGTCATAAGCGATACCGTTCTGTAACAAATTAATCAAGATAAAATTGACAGTAAGTGATCCATTCATACAACTACCGCAACCGCAATAAAACTGTAACGGTATTAATGAAGCGGTCCATTAACTTCTCATAAGCAGCGTTTGCAAATGGTAATTAAAAGTTCTGTGGAACGATTACTCAGGATTACTTAATACCGAGAAGCAGTTTGTTCTTCTGTTTAGTGGTTTATCGCTGGCGTATCGCTAAGGTAGTCGCTGGGTGATTGAACGATAAAGAAGTTTTTTGAAAAATGCTTTATCGTGTAAAATCGATTTGTTTATAGAACTGGACGAGAACAGTATTGCCGCCCAGGCGTTTGTATTTTTTGCCGCCGGTTACGAAACCTCGTCCAATACTATTGCATTCTGCCTTCATGAATTGGCATTGAATGCTGAAATTCAGGAAAAAACCAGACGGGATATTCATGATGCTATCGACAGCAGGGGAGGAAAGTTGACTTATGATGCTGTGCAGGACATGAAGTACCTTGACATGGTTATTGCAGGTAATTGTGCAGTGAATACCTGTAAATTATTTTTTTTTACATCAGGGCTTTTTACATTTTTATGGGCTGAGACCCATTTTTCATGTGGTACATTATTTTAAAAAATCCTATGGTACCAGAGAATCAAGTTCTCTAACTCTCAATGTCATAAAATAAACTCCTAAGGTCTCAAAGTTCCAAAATCCTAAAGTCCTAAAAATCACAAGATCCCAAAGTCTCAAAATCCTAAGATCTCAAAGTTCCAGACTCTGAAGTCCTAGATTCTCCAATCCCTAAAACTTCAAACTCCCCAAATATAAAGATCTCAAAGTATCAAAATCTCAAAAACCCGGATCCCAAAAGTTCTAAAGTCTTAAAGTCCCAAAATTCAAAAACCTTACAAGCACCAACATTTAAATATTTCAGCATTCCATACTTCCAAGTTCTGCAATTTTAAAGTCCCAAAATGCAAACTTTAAAAATTCTAGTTTCAAATTTTTAAATTTCCAAAGTGACCTTGACAGAAAAATTAATCATCATATTAGGAATATAACTCTTTTTTACATATACTTAATTTTCAGAAACTCTTCGAAAATACCCACCAGCATCACTCTTATCTCGTAGATGTGAATACCAGTATCAGATACCGGGTAGTAAAGTGGAACTACCTCCAGGTATGAGGGTGATCATACCAATTTATGGACTTCATCATGATCCAGATTATTATCCCAATCCATCAATGTTTGATCCTGAACGCTTCACAGAAGAGAATAAACGTACAAGGCATCCATACACATACCTTCCATTTGGGGAAGGACCAAGAAATTGTATAGGTAATCTTTTTATTAAAGCTGCTTGCTACGAACTCAAGATCTTTGCAGAACAACAGTACAATCATCTTAAGAGTAGTTAAAAGGAAGCATAAAGGAAGAAGTATTCCACTACTTGCCTTATTTGTCTTATTCTTTCAATACTAGGACTAGAGGTTATTGTTTAAATTCACCTAGGTTCTCCCTAATCTCCCAAGATCAAAAGCAAATGGTGATAAGCTCTTTCCTCTAAAGAAATCTTTTATAATAAAACTATTATTGAGTAACTTATCCTATAAAATCATTATTTTAATAGACTTGAACATGTTTCAGGAATGCGGTTTGCATTATTGCAAATTAAAGTTGGTATAATTTCATTTCTGAGGAATCACAGAGTGGAGGTTTGTGAAAAGACAGTCACACCAATAAAGTTTAGCAGGCGAAGCCTAGTAACAACGAGCGAGAAAGGATTCTGGCTCAAAATTGTACAGTATTAAGCTACTTTTAATGTCGTAGAAAGGCAACCTTTCAGTCTTTCGTGTACTTAATATACCTCACAAAGTAATCAAACTTCAAAAAAATTGTTTGATATGATTAGAGCTGATACAGTCAATCATTATCTTCAATATCAAACTTTAACCGTTTATTTTCCTTCTATCATTCAACAAGAACAATAACAAATAATTTTTAATACAATGCATTGATAGAAATTGTTTTTAGAAAGTGGTTTATTATAATATTTGCGTGTAAGTGAAGCATTTATATTTTTGTAGGATCTCATTGTATATAATGTATTGATGTAATAAAAACGAAGGAAACACATAACTGTACGTATTACGCATCCCATCCATATATTAAATAAGCAATAAGCAAATAAGGTTCGCTATTCAGGATGAACATATTAATCATTCAAACAGTCGACGCACCAAAAAGAGTTAATGTAACCTAACTGTATACCGTCATCGCTTTCAATTACATATCCGCACTATAGTCGGTCTATCATTACATTGTATCATTGTATCGGTTGTGAGCTGCACGCTGTATAGTAGATCGCATACACTATAGTATTTTTCGTTACATGCATAGTACGTAAATACATACGTAAATACATACTTTTGTTCTCTCTTCTATATACTCGTGCATTGTCTATTGGTGGCAGCAGCTCCAAGTCAGTGCACTCTTCGTTCATAGAACGATTTGTATGTAGATATTTGCGTATGTATAGTAAGTCGTTAATACGACAACCAATTATACGATCAAAAATGTCATTTCCTTGATTAGGTGACAGTGCTCTTTTATCAACTGTATCTTTGTTCTGTTCGAAGATTTTCTGCAGTATCTGACAGCGAGACATTTTACTGAAAATAATGCTAGGGTGAGCCGTAAATCTGTTTACGTAGATGCGTACCACTTCTGTCATTTGAAATTGATAACCGGGCCCTTTGAATGATAAGGTCTATGCAAGCAATACACTTCCCCCAGATTTATCAAAACACGTGTTGCGATTACAATCAAAGTAAACGAAAGGTGTCTGATGTTCATCTTTTAATTCACCTGTTACAACTTTCAACATTTCATTTATAATGTATGATCAACTTTTACCAGTTAATGTTTGCAAATTAAATATTAACATAGTATAATAACTGTTTTATTAATAATTTATTATTAATAAAGTCTGATAATTTCATATATATATTTTATGTATAGGTTAAAATGACCTTATTCATTACTCTACTATCATACTACCTCACTGTGTATCTTATCTATATATCTGTTGTTAGCACCTCATTCCAGCTAGTTCTAACCAATGTCTAATTTAATTTTAGATGTCACACTACAGTAGAAATACAAATACTCAGAAATCAACGGTGATCGATTATGAGCGTCAGTTCCAAGAGGATTTAGAGCGTGCTCAAGCATTGAGTTTAGAAAGTCTAGCTTTAGAAAAATTTAAATTACAGAAACAGCGTTCAGAATTCAATAATGTTCAACAATCTTGTGTTCCACAAGGTGAAGTACACACATCAAATAACATTGTACATAGCAATTCATCAGAAAGAGATAATACACCGCAAACTGAAAAGTAAATTATATTCAATTATTGCTATATATGATTTCACACAATAATCAGTGAAACTTAATTTAAAAAATGTAGATTTCAGTGTAGAAGTAGACCTAGGCCTGGTTCCTTTAACACAAATCAATCTAAAAATACAGTGATATTAGCACCACCACCAGTTCCATCTAGAAGAAATTCTACAACAGCTACGACAAGCCAAGATCAGTCTGTTGACTTAATTAATTTTACAAGTCCAGTGAAGCAAGATGATTTAACAGATTATTGTTCACCTCCACCTCCACCACCGTGAGTTCATAGTTGAGAGATGCTTATAAAAGGGTTGTTTAAATTATTATTGATTAACTATTCATGTTTTATAACAGGAAACCATTATTGGAACCAAAATGGGAAACGCATCCTTCATTATTAAAAAGGCAAGGAAGAGTATCACGTAGCAGTAGTGTTGCAGGTTATCATTCTCGAGACTTCAGATATCAATCACTTTCTCCTGGTCCTAGATCTTCCACTGCACCATGCACACCAGGAACTCCAAAAATTAGTCCTGTTATGTCGAGATCCAGTAGTATTAATAGTACTGTACCTGATGCAACACCACAAGTAAGTATATTATTAAATGTTTATGAATATTTTACAGCATTAAATGTATAACTGTTTTTTTTTTTTTTTTTTTTGGATATAATAATTTTATATTTTAATTTTAACGATGACTCTCGTTACAGCTTGCATGGAATTTTAATAATTTTAGAAATTACTTTCTTACACAGGTATATGGATTGTGTATGTGTTTTAAGTCAAATATTAGCTTAGGAATATTATTTATATTTTTTAATAGTTCAATTTAAATCATCAAATATCGTATAACTTATCACATGACTCTTTTTAAGGATGAAGTTTACTCTTTTTACAGATACCTCCATTACCTACAAATTACAGACCAAGTATTACTCCTTCTGTATGTGGTGTACAAAAACCTATGTTCTCTATGAACGATGAGCAGCTAAGTGTATTGAAAGTGATAGAAAAGAAGCCAAATAATAATCTTATAGACCTGAGTTCTTTCGATCAAGTAGAAGATAAAACAAATGTTCGAGTTAGCGTATTAGAAGCGTTTGATCCATTACTTGTTAAGACTGAAGATCTTAACGAGAGTGCACAGGGAAATAAAGATGAGATACAAGTCAGTGGATCAGTGTATGACCCGTTTGATCCATTCGACTACATGTATAGCACAAATGAAAGTGTTAATTCGGATCCGGTGTATGTTGCTGTGGAAAAGTCTGCTAAATCTCCTGCTGTATCTCCAGCTGCACCGCCACCACTACCTCCTAGAAACTCATCTGCTTGGAATACTATTGAAAGAAGAAGAACCTCTTTAGATAGGAGACAGAAACGACAAACACGCTTATTCGAAAACATAACAGTTAGAAAAACTAGACCATCGCTTCTTGATTGTGATTTGAAAGCTTTCCATGAACTGATGAAATCTGTGCGAAGTGAATTTCCATTTAATGATCCTAGTACAAATATTGGGCACATAATCAGCCCAATGATGGAAAGCTTGTATCCTGAAGGCACAAGTATAAAATTAGTTGTACATCCACAGCTAACGGATTCTAATGAAAATACTCCGTCCATATCATTTACTTGCGATGTAAATTGTAGCGTTGAACATGTTATCCTTAACGTCGCTTGTTCCTTAGAAGATGAAGACACTGTAAACGTGGAGAAATATTGTTTGAGAGTATGGGGATTAGCGGAATATTTCGCACCGAATACAACTTTAGCTCAATACGAATACATACATCAATGTATCAAATTAGAAAAAGACATTGAATTAGCTATTCTAACTAAAGCACAAATAAAACGATCGATAGCGCGAACACTGCAAGACGATAATCGCGACCAATGTCTCAAATTAGAAGACATCCTTCCAAATGAACCAGTACAACCTATTTCGTACGATACACTTCTCATTTTGCTAGAAACTGTAGAGAAAGAAATGGAACGCGTAGAAACCGCTGCTATACAATTGGCAACTAGCAATCATGGTTCTAGTCTTTTACCTCAACTGCAACCACGGGGTGTTGTTCAAGCGGTAAAAGCTGTCTGTGCACTAATGGGAAACATAGAAACATTTGAAATTACGGAAGCTGTCGACAATTTCGTGAACGCGTGTTGTCAATTTTTGCCCCAAGTTCACACGACAAATATAGAATGCAAAAAGCCTGAAATCTTGCACGAAGATGGCGACTATTCTGTAGTGACCTTGCGGACGAAGTTTCCGGATGTAATTGCATCTCATTGTCACAAAATCCGTGGGGCAATTCAAGATCTTGTGGAAACTTATTGTCATGCTTTTAGAGTTGACTTTGAGTTAAATAGTAAACCAGATTTTCCAACAGGTAATAATTTTATTTTGTGTAATAAGTTTTTATAGAAATACATGAGATGTTTCTTTATATGACAGTCACGTTAGTGTCATCTGAAGTGTTAGACACTATATTAGTTCGCGTTGGAGCAGTGCATAGATTACCAGGATCATGGAAACACGATGATTACATAATCGCAGCACAGATATTCCACGGTACAAGACCCGTTGGGATCCCAGTTTTATCCGAACCTATGGCAGTCAGTTCCAATTTTTATCCAAGAATTTTGTTTAATGCTTGGTAATTATTATTATATTTACTATACAGAAATTGCACTTCAATTTTTCAATTTATGTTATAATTTTTAGGCTGGAGTTTCGTGGCATAAGTGTATGCCAAGTCCCAAGAGAAGCGAGGCTAGTGTTAGTTCTATACGGTCGCACTGTACAACCTACTGAACATGAATCAAATTCGTCGACAGAAAATACTATGCAAAAAGAAGAATTAGGTTGGGGAGCTATACAGTTCTTCGATTTTGAAGGGTACGCTTACATTTGATTAGAAAACGATCATTTTTTAAATATACTTACTATTTTTTACAGGGTGATGAGTCAAGGAAGTTTCTTCTTATCTCTTTGGCCAGCGGTTGCTGATAAAAGGTTAGGGCCTGCTCCTGCATCTGGAATTCATCCCCACGGTGATACACATCCCACAATTGGGATAGAATTACCTGATTATGGAGGGAAAGTATTGTTCCCTTCAGAATTACGAGATTATGATGTGGAATCGTTGGACTTCAGTTCACTAGATCAGAATACGCAAGAAATATTAATAGACATTACACAACAAACTACTTTCACAAGGTACCTTTAAACTAAATTATATTTTTAATATCATGTTAATGTTTATTTTTTCATTGTCAGACCACTTATTGAAGAGAGGGAAATTTTATGGGAAAAGCGTCATTACTTACATGATAAACCTGAAGCTCTGCCCAAGGTACTTCTGGCTGCACACAGTTGGGACTGGGCTTGTTTACCCGATCTTCATGCATCTCTCAGGGTTTGGAGTCCTTTATTACCTGTTCAAGCTTTACAATTATTATTACCTTGGTAACTACTGTTTTAAGTAAGTCCAATCTATTAATTGCTTCAAATAAACATAAGTTCTGTGTAGTTTTCCAGATATGAAAGTTAGAGAAATAGCGGTGGGGTGGATTCGAGAATTAAGTAATGACGAACTGGTGGATTATTTACCACAGTTATTGCAAGCGTTAAAGCACGAGACATATGAAACTTCTCCTCTAGCAAGATTCTTATTAGAACGAGCGTTACTTTCTCCGCGAGTAGCTCATCATATTTATTGGCTACTGACGCAAGCATTACCGGGACAAAGTCCTCAGGTATCGAATCATTAACCTACTTTAAAAAACTTATAATAAATAATGTTGATTTTAAAGGCATGTTTAATTTATTTTTAGAACTCTGCTGAAGTTGGGCCAGAGGATGATAGAAATATTAGCTCTACGCGTTATCACAGAAGATTACAGTTGATGTTACGGGCATTACTAGCTGTTATTGGCGATGCACTAAGAAATAGTTTTCTTACTCAGCAATTACTTGTTAAGGTATATTTCTATTTTATAGGTTATGTTAACTAATAAATGATGTAAATCGTGTTCCCACAGAATTTACACGAGGTCGCAGAAAATATCAAACAAATGAAAGATTCATTGAGAATGGATGCACTAAAAATTAGTTTACAAAATATACACTGTCAGCTAATGGAAGATGATGGTACATGCTTACCGCTGTCACCCAGTAAACAAGTATTCGGTATAAATGTTCAAGGTTGTTCGTATTTCCCATCGTTTACTCTTCCGCTAAAAATCAATTTTATCAGTTGCGATGATGTGATTTGTCCTGCAATCTTTAAAGTACGTTTATCACATAAATAAGTCATACAGTGTGTCATAATTATTACATCAAATTAACTTTGAAGGTTGGTGATGATTTACAACAAGATATGTTAACGCTTCAAATAGTTCGCATCATGGATAAGCTCTGGCTAAAAGAGGGTCTCGATCTTAAAATGGTGACGTTCGCTTGTGTACCTACTGGTTACAAACGTGGAATGATAGAAATGGTTACGGATGCTGAGACCTTGAGAAAAATACAGGTTGAGTTTGGTCTGACCGGTTCGTTTAAAGATCGACCGATTGCCGAGTGGTTAGCAAAGCACAATCCCTCAGAATTAGAATACGAAAGGGCAGTAGAAAACTTTACCGCCTCTTGCGCCGGTTATAGCGTCGCTACCTATATCCTAGGGATTTGTGACAGACACAATGACAATATTATGTTAAAAACATCCGGTCATCTATTCCACATCGACTTCGGTAAATTCTTAGGTGATGCACAAATGTTTGGAAATTTCAAAAGGTAAAAATACTTTTATTCGAACATCTGTTGCTTATACAAAATGTTTATACATCCCATATTTTTATGCAGAGATAGAACGCCGTTCGTATTAACTTCTGATATGGCGTATGTTATAAACGGTGGAGATAAACCGTCGGCCAAATTCCATCATTTCGTAGATTTATGTTGTCAAGCATTTAACGTGGTACGAAAACATGGAAACCTTATTCTTCATCTTTTCGGATTGGTACGTTTATTCACATTCGATATTATCATACAATAATGTAAATGTTTTTTATTTATAATATTACAGTGGCACAGTATATTGCTTTATTTTTAAGCACGTCGCAATTTAAATCATTGTTCCGTTATATAAAAACAAAAATACCGCAACGGAAGGACTTATCCTCGCGCTTTATCTGAAAGTGGTCCGCTATCACGCTAAACTATATACCATGTGTTAATTAGTGTTTATCGTTCGAGGTCTCGTAATATCAAACAATGCAGCAGTCTGAGTCAATTAAGAGAAGAGTAAACATGTTCGAAATCTAACGAAATTAATAAACAATCTGTTAACGTGATTTTGTTTTAAAAATGACTGAATTAAACATTGTACAACAAAAGCTCGCCAACATCGAGTTTAAGGAGTTCGCAAACAAATCTAAAATGAATAACTATACAAATTCGCAGATGACTTCGTCTGGTATTCCTGGTGTAACGGTGGACGCTGTTAGTTATGTACAGAAAGCTCTTCTTCCTGAGCAAACGAATCCCGAAGCAGCCGCGACGTTTGCTCGCATGATAGAAAGTTCGCTCAAAAGTTGGTTCACACAGTTCAACTTTTTCTTACACAATCTAGCACAGCTTAGATTTTCGGGTGATCACAGTGACGGAACATTGTTATCGTTTATTCCACGAACGTACACGTGAGTTTGTTAATCTGCCTTGTGAAATTGTGACAAAGTTGGAGATTAATGCTCGTTTAATTGTTATAGAATGCAGCAAGAGGGTCAATTAACGAGCGTGCAAGTACACGGTTATCAGAAACGATACGACCCTGAAAAATATTACATGTATATTTTGCGTATACAGCGAAAGGGTCATGCAGATCCCACTTATTTATTTCGATCGTATAAGGAGTTTTGCGAATTTTATCAGAAACTGTGCATTCACTTCCCTCTTGCTAAACTTGCCAGGTAACATTAATTTTTTTATAACGTTAATTTAATTATACTGCACTTAATTGGACGTAGAGGATGGTTGCTTAAACTCCACCTTGTTCTGTTTCTTAAAATTATCGTTCTTTTGTGACTTGTTAGGATCATTTTGTGATATTCTTCGATAAAATTCAGGATTGGAAGATAAAGAAGACGATGTCTGTTGTATCGATATTTGAGCACGAAACCGCTTGAAAACCATTTCTATTTTTCTTCTAAAATAATACAGAATTATTTTTACATATCTATCGTACATAATATAAGTACTTACTTGAACAAATTGAAGACACGTTTTATTGCTGCTTATAATTAGACAATACTGCATTGTCAGAATCGTGTTATCTTTCGTCGTACTATCTAATCACCGAAATCTTTGATACGTAGCAAATTTTGAAATCATGATCTGTAATGACTCAAATTTCAGTTCCGCTTATAATATTTCTCCATAATTAATAAGTATGTTTGATTGCGTAGTTTACCGAGCGGTATAAGCGTGGGAAGGTCCAATATAAAACAAGTTGCTGATAAACGTCGTGCAGATATCGAAAAATTTCTTGTAAGCTTATTCAAAATGGCACCAGAAATTTCTCAGAGTGACTTAGTATACACATTCTTTCATCCACTACTGAGAGATCAGCAAAATGCTGATATTCATTTACGCAAAGTCAAAGGTATGAATATTCAAAACCTGGTTGTATGAAATATAAAAATATTATTTATTCAGTTATTATTTTTATTTTATATGTTATTATTTCTATTCAGTTGGTAATTGGTGGGCAGAGAAAAGGGTCAGGGAGAATGTGCAAAATGGACAAATTAAAATGTCCCTTCACTACACTCGAGGAGCTTTTTATGTGATGATCTATCATGCAAGAGGTTTACCAAAGGTGGCTAACAGTCAAGAACCGAATACTTATGTAAAAGTCTATCTCAAACCAGATCCCACAAAGAAAACGAAGAGGAAAACGAAAGTTGTGAAGAAAAATTGTCATCCATCGTTTATGGAAATGGTATGATAATAATAATAAATATTAATATATAATAATTTCCAAGCACCTCATTCATATGTTATATTTTATTTATTGCAGCTGGAATATAGAATGTCTTTGGAGGTAATTAAAGAAAGAACTTTGGAAGCAACGATATGGAATCATGATACACTGCAAGAAAATGAGTTTCTTGGAGGGTTATGTTTGCCCCTTGAACGTTTCGACTTGACAACCGAGACAATTGAATGGTTCTCGTTAGGTAGTCTTCGATGAAACAGTATATGTAATTTTATAAAAAATTTATTAATACTCATGTCTATTCTGAAAGGAATTGAAAACATTCAATGTTATCGCACAATACTAATGATAGTATTTTTAATGTTATGCACGTAAGTGCAACGAGGATATCTGCGTATCGCTGTAGAGACATAAACATGCTTATACGTTTAATGAAAACGCTTCTGAAATTAAGGTAATCAGTGACGTAAAGTTTATGAAATGTTAATCAAGTAACAGACAAAGAGGCATATTTCATAAAATTATTCTACCTTTGTAGCGATTAAAATGTTAAAAATCAAGTTCTACTTAATTTTTAGATGGTAAAATTGACTACAGATTTTATTTAAGTTGTATTTTATAAATATTTACTGCCAGCTACAGATTTTGAGTTCACGGCGATGCTGTTAGTCAAATTTTATAAAAATATTTATTCTACTTTTACCGAATCATAATCTTTATTAACTGTAAATAAAATTAATCTTACTGCGCTACATAATTGTAGCCAATTGAGTTTGACAATATGTACACTTTTCTACTTATACATAGCTCGGGTACAAGTTACTTGCCTACAATAAGAAATATGTTAAGTGAACATTTTTTACTTTCATATGAATTTACAGGATGACATAAAAATGCCTTGTATATTAAAATAACCGAACTGTCTTTCTATACAAAACAGTAAGATTTATATAAAAAAGAATTCTGTGAATTACTGTATATTAATGATTTTTTTAATTTCTAGATGAAAAAGGAAGAATGAAATTATGTAAATATGCTTTGAATTTACAAATTATTTTCGTAATCGTATTGTGAATATTTTAGCATAATTTTCCTTAGCAAATATACTATAACGAAAATAAAGGTTCATGTTAATACATTATCGACGGGTGATTCATAGATCTTAATTTGATTTTAGCGTCGATTTTTACCATTTTTTACCGTACGCAGTTTTCTACTTACTCATATAGAATAATATTAATCTAGTCCCCTGTTGCTAGTGTATTTTAATCTTGATTTTTGTTATAGTTATCAAGACTAATTTACCAGTGTACGTTGCACTTTGCAATCATGTAGAAACGGATCTAATTAGAATATTTTATAATTATACCTTGCTTTTGCATGCGCTTTCTCTTGTGAGACAAAATCGTAATTTATTTATACAAGTGCTTTCTTTAATCCGATCAAGTATCACACAAATTGTATCATTGCATTTTATGTTCTGTGTTACTATTGTACAAAAAATCTTTGCGAATACGTTATTTATTTTATAACTTTTAGCCCGATTATTAAGGACACGTTGTAACAGTGAAACAATAAAATTATCAATACAATTGATTAACAAATTCGCATTTAATATTTGTTAAATGTTTAATATTAAATATATTTGATATTTATTGCAATGGAGGTTTGCTTAAAAGCAAGGTGCGTGACCACGACGGTTTTCAGCGTGGAGGAAACACGGAAACGGTAGTTTTCCATTTTTGAGGAACGGGAACGGGCTACCTGGAGTCCCGGCGCGTAAAGTAAGGGCGCGTACTGCAAAAGGATTCCAGATACATACGCAGGCAGGACGTTTTATTACAGTTTTCATCCGCAGATTAGCCCCTTTGGAACCATCGATACTCGATTCAGAGGCTTTTATAGCCCCCCATAAAAGTACCTATTTGGTGTTTTCGACTGGACCGAGCAACTCGAACAAAAAGGTATCCTGCCCCCCGTCACATCCACGCATCCCCTGGAATTTCTCGGTATACGTGAAACGTTGTTACGTCTCGGGGTCCAATTACGTACGGGTTGCCGACCTGACAACGTTCTTTCACCATTCTGCTGCATCCTTTATCTTCTTCCCTGATCCTGATTTCCACCTTTCATGCTACGCGGTTGCTTTGCACATTCAAAGAGGAAGAAGCTACTTTTTAACGTCTTTGTGAAATTTACTGAGGGTACAGAAATTTTCAGCTACTTCCTGGAATTGTAAATCATTGGTTTCCGAGGAGGTGGCTACTTTGAAACAGAAATAAACGATAGCGGGATCATTTACAGAATGGTAGTTATGTATGTCGTTATCGTGGAAATCGATTCGAGTGTTTGGTTTTCCTTTCTGTTACGGTAATCTACCGACGGTCATCGAATTAGTATTATCACGTCATCTGAGTCTTGTGAACAGACCGCTTTCGATAGTCTTGACACTTGGAAACGATAGGAGGTTTTGATTATGAGGAAATGATTATTGTTTATCGATGTAAGGTAACTGTAATGTGATACTTACAGTATGATGACAAAATAAATAGCAAAAATATATTGGTATATATAAAAGATGTATTCATGTTGTTATTTAGCTTTGATTGAAGGATTGTGCGAAGTAGTTGTGTTTAAAAATTTTGTACAATGAGAACGGATAAAATGGGTGAAGCTTTTAGTGTAGGTAAGTTATGTGATATATTATTATATATGTTAATTTGATATTAATTTTATAGAATTAATTGTGATATTAATTTTATAGAATTAATTATGATATTACTTTTATAGAATTTCTAGAATTTAGAGTTTGAGTGTTTATAAGAAAATTATGATTTAATTCAGTTTATAACAAAACTTCACGTTCTTAATTTTTGATAACTTAATCGTCAAATGTTCAGAATTGGAAATATTTTAATTGGTGCATTTCTAAATCTTTAAATCTCTATATTGTAAAATTATTGAATTTTTAAATTTGGAAATTTGTAAGTACTTATATTTCTACAACCATTTTCAAATCAACAAATCCTTAAATTGATGTATTTTCAAGTTTTATAGATTCCATAGTTTTTAACTTTTTTCCAAATTTTCAAACCCTAAATTTCTAAATTGCTCAAGCTTTAAATTGATATATTTTCAAGTTCCATTAATTCTGTATTCTTCGATTTCTTTCCAAATATTCAAACCCTAAATTTCTAAATTTCTAAATTGCTCAATCTTTAAATTCTTGAATCCTCCAATTTCTTAATTGCTATATTTCTAAATCTATAAATTCTCAAATCCCTAAATTTATAAATTAAATTTTACAAATTGCTATATTCCTAAATTCTCAAATTAAAAAATTTCTACATTCTCAATTTGCAATGTTACAAATTCTCAAATTCCCAACTCCTCAATTCTTAAATTCTAAATTCTTCAATTTCTCCAAGTACTCCATTTTTTAATTCTAAAATATCAGATTTCTCAGTTCTAAAATTCTATAATTCCAAATTTCCTAGTTCCAAAATTTCAAAATCCCAAATTTCCCAGTTCCAAAATTTTTAAATATCAAATCTTCCAGTTTAAAAATTTAAAAATTCCAAATCACCCAATTCCAAATTTTCCGAATTCCAAATCTCCCAATTTCTAAATCTCCCAATTCCAAATCTTCCAATTTCTAAATTTCCCAATTCCAAATTTTCCAATTCTAAATCTCCTAATTCCAAATCGCCCAATTCCAAGTTTTCTAATTTTAAATTTCCCAATTCCAAATCTCCCAATTTCCAAATCCCTCAGTTTCTAAATTTCCCAATTCCTAATTTTCCAACTTCCAAATCTTCTAATTTCTAAATCCCCTAATTTCTAAATCTCCCAATTTCTAAAGCTTCCAATTTCCAAATCCCCTAATTTCTAAATCTCCCAATTCTCAATTTCCCAATTTCCAAATCCCTCAATCTCTAAATCTCCCAATTCCCACTTCCCCAATTTTCAAATCTCCTAATTTCCAAATCCCCCAATTCCTAAATCCCCAACTCCTCAATTCTCAAATTCCAAACCCCTCAATTTCTCCAGCAACTCCATCAAATCTCCAAATAATACATTCTCCTCAAACCCCCAAACATTCTAATCACGAAACTCACCTTTGTACTCCACACCCCAAAATACTAACTCCACCCCTTAATATCTGACAATCCTCTATTGTCAATCCTCTATCGTCATACATTAAAGATGGAGTCTACCTCCACTCTATACTCTACCTCACCCTCTCCAAAATACTTTAATAAATCATAAAATTAAAAAAACCACATTTGCATATTTCGTCAAGCTCCTCTAACGCGTTGTCGCGCATTAAATTCGCCAAGTCGTTCTCCGATCAACACTTCGCGAAGAAGGGAGGGTGTCAGTGAGATCTCGGTTGCGTGTAAGCTGGGGTTGATTCCAGTGGATGAGGGGCTGGGGTCGGACATCGATCTGGTAGTTAAGTTGAGGGCTCCCACGGGACTCGTTCGCCACCTTCGCAGCATCGTCTCCTCCTCCTGCTTTATTTGTCTCTGTGCGAATTTGCTGGCATCGGTTACACGTTCTAGCCACTCACATAAACGGCATTACACGTTTTTGTGCTAGTATTTATGTACAATCCAACGAGACCCATTCGACCAAGAGTCACTGGAAAACTTTCTAGCCGTGGAATTGCAAGCAAATCGTTGAGACTGGATTTAATCGTTATGGCTACTCGTTTCGATGAGACATCGCTTTTTTTACCTTCGATGAAAATCGGCTCGTTAAATATCATTGCTGTTTGCTTTCATCTGTAGAAATTTTATGTTCGATTGGGGCAATCGAGTTATTTAGGCCAGTAATAGCAATGAAATACATTAATTTTAGCTTGGTAATTAATTTTTCAATTTGCAAATTTTGTTGTGAGATTTTTATTTCTTGTGACTTTGAATTTTTTGGATAATTTTAATTTTAGCTAGGTAATTAGCTTTTCAATTTGCAAATTTTCTTCTGAGATTTTTATTTTTGGTGACTTTGAATTTTTAGGATAATTTTAATTTCAGCTAGGTAATTAATTTTTTAAGTTGCAAATTTTGTTCTGAGATTTTTATTTCTTGTGACTTTGAATTTTTAGGATAATTTAAATTTTAGCTAGGTAATTAATTTTTCAATTTGCAAATTTTGTTCTAAGATTTTTATTTTTTGTGACTGAATTTTTTGGATAATTTTAATTTTAGCTAGGTAATTAATTTTTCAATTTGCAAATTTTGTTCTGAGATTTTTATTTTTTGTAACTGAATTTTTAGGATAATTTTAATTCTAGGTAATTAATTTTTCAATTTGCAAATTTTGTTCTGAGATTTATATTTCTTGTGACTTTGAATTTTTACCATAATTGAGGAAACGTAATTCTAGATTTATTATTCAGAATTTAGGTTTGAGATTTTTGTATTGCTAGGTTTTTTAAATTTTTTAATAGTCAACTTTTTAAATTTTTATCCTTGTAAATCATTAAAGTTGTAAGTTCGAAGATGTTTAATTTTTATGATGAAAAGTATGAGTGTCTGTAAGTTTCTTTGTGGGAATCTGTCCACAGTGGCTGTCGATTTAGATGTTTGATGATTTGGATCATCATGGGAGCAGAATAAAAAGTAGACAGAATTACTAAACATTAGATCGTATATTTTGAAATTTCTTTGCTCGTATGTTCCCTTAAAACACTTGTTAAACTCTCGCAACAAGAAACCATACATAAACCGATGAAAACGTAAATACTAATGAATCTTACACGATCGTAAAGCCTAATATTACTAACCTTAATTAATATAATAACTTACGAATTAAGATATTTTATTATATTTAACTATGTACACATAATTCACGTGAGATTTTTAATGTTACGTTAAAACCATTCTTACATACATACATACATACAACAACAACGCACGCACACACACGCTCGCGTTTTACATTGAAATCGTGATCGCGTGTTGAGGGGGTTGGCTCAAGGCACACGGCTCTCTCTTACAGTTTCATTTCCTTCTCGAAAACAGCCTCTATATTTTTCGTGTTTTTATCTTTTATTGTCATTAAAATTCGATCTAAGAATCTACAATTCGTACGCGTAGCAGTAAAGCCAAATAAAACTCGTTTTACCGAGAAGGTAATAAAAGTCGAAGATTAAAATCGGCACGATTAAAAATTGCATAACAACGCGACTTCTCTCGAGGCATACGTTTACGTACGGTTTCGAAAAGAGTTTAACAAGTATTTTGTAAAAACATACCGCGTACACGTTTATTGCATCTCGTTCGCGGACATTTCGATACAGAATACGCCGTTTTACAATTTTACTTTCGTTTCTCTCGTACGTATACTTGGATCCTCGGGGTTCTCGGTCCTTGCGCGTGGGTATGGGGACCCCGGTTTCGCTCTCCATCTTGTTTTCTTCTACGTACTCTCGATACGTTCTTTAAATTCTTCAGATCCCCTCCCCAGAAAAGCCTCGACATCTTCGGGCAATTCGAGCGAATTTAACAGCAACAATAATAAATGCCATCGTAACTCGCAAGATTCTGTTACACTCTCAGAAACTGTGGGATCTTCAGATCCCTGAGCAAACGATGTATCCTATATATTTTTCTGAGCGTATCTTGCGAGTCTGCAGAAGCGAACGAACCCATTTATTATTTAATTTGTTGAAATTCATTCGAATCGCATCCCCGTGCGTATCATAAATTTCTCGTTTAAAATCTAACTTAACGCGACGGTACCACTGGATACAAGTACAGCGGTTGGCGGTTTCTAAGGCAAAGATTGCACGTTTCCATACGTTTCGTATAAATGTCGGAGATCCGATCGTCAGTCGGCGGTTCGTGAATTTGTCTTGACAATGAGTGGCAATTTCTGAATCCTCCACGAAGCGTTGATCGCGGCTCGTTAAAATAAATCCCTAGGTAAAAATCGTGGTCAGAACTTCGTTCTAGCAAAATTGAAAATAATACTGAGCATATAAGAAGAATTGTATCGCGATCGACACGAGCGTCGCCATCTTGGATCCCCGTCGGTGTTCACTGAAATTCCTCCCGAGCGCGTTTCACGAGGGTAACGAAAAGTGCTAACAGACCCAACAGAACGAAGACCACAGGGGTCACAACGCGATCGTAGTCCTCCCATCGGTTATCGAGGTCGATTATCTGTCTCGAAAATCGTCCAGAAAAATCACGCGCGACTACGAATCCGTCGCAAAGTCTGACGGTGTGAAGGTGCTGCTAGGTCAGCCATGACGGGACCAAGTTTCAGCGATCTCGGGTTCTTCAGGTCACAAGCCTAACACCGTGTGAGGATGAGCGTGCTGATGAGAGTGCGAATGCAGAGGTCCAGATGGCGGGCTCAAAGTCAAGGTGTGATGGGACGAGTGTCCGAGTCCCAATGGTGGCGAGCCTCCATTCTGCATCAGACCACCCAACATTCCTCCCATTCCGCCGAGGGACAGGCTGGCCATTGCTCCGCTAGGTACTCCTTCCATCGATTTCGGACTTTTCTGGTCTAACTCCTCTCGCTTCTTGCCTTGCTTTCGTTCTTTCGCCCGCCGGTTTTGGAACCATATCTTTACCTGTGGAAACAGAAATTGTTGCGAGTTTTTGGATTAGTTTGGAAGATTATTGGGGGGTAAGACTCTTGGTGAGGAACGCTTGGAAACTTTTTTTTGAATATTTTGAAAGTTTCAGGTTTTGGGGAGATGGGGGAGAAGGTTGGGATTTTGGGAGGTTGGGAGTTTGGAAGGTTGGGAGATTGGAAGGTTGGGACTTTGGAGGGTTGGGACTTTGGAGGGTTGGGACTTTGGAGGGTTGGGACTTTGGAGGGTTGGAATTTTGGAGGGTTGGGATTTCGGAGGGTTGGGACTTTGGAGGGTTGGGACTTTGGAGGGTTGGAATTTTGGAGGGTTGGGATTTTGAAGGGTTGGGACTTTGAAGGGTTGGGACTTTGAAGGGTTGGGACTTTGAAGGGTTGGGACTTTGAAGGGTTGGGACTTTGAAGGGTTGGGACTTTGAAGGGTTGGGACTTTGAAGGGTTGGGACTTTGGTAGGTTGGGATTTTGGAAGATTGGGACTTTGGAAGGTTGGGATTTTGGAAGGTTAGGACTTTGGAAGGTTGGAACTTTGAGTGATTGGAACTTTGAGTGATGGGAACTTTGAGTGATGGGAACTTTGAGCGATTGGAACTTTGAGCGATGGGAACTTTGAGCGATGGGGACCTTGAGTGATTGGAACTTTGAGTGATGGGAACTTTGAGTGATGGAAACTTCGAGTGATGGGAACTTCGAGTGATGGGAACTTCGAGTGATGGGAACTTCGAGTGATGGAAACTTTGAGTGATGGAAACTTCGAGTGATTGGAACTTCGAGTGATTGGAACTTTGAGTGATGGGAACTTTGAGTGATGGGAACTTTGAGTGATGGAAACTTCGAGTGATGGGAACTTTGAGAAATTGGAACTTTGAGTGATTGGAACTTTGAGAGATTGAAACTTTGAGGGATTGGAACTCCAAGAGATTAGAATTTTGAATGGTTGGAGCTATGGAAGGTTGAAACTTGAAGTGGTTCGTAGTTCGCAAGATTCGGACTTTCGAACATCGGATTTTCGAGAGACTGATACTTCGGGAGATTGAGACTTTGAAAGATTGGAACTTTAGGAGATCCTAACTTCAGAAGTTTAGTTCCAAAGTCCCCAGGTTCCAAACTTTACACAAGTTCAAAAATTCTACATTTACGAATTCTCAAATTTCCTCACTCGCAAAGTCACATATTTCCCAAATTCTAAGTTTCTGTAGTTCTTAACAGAACCGCTACTAGTCTGGCTACTGGCGGCCATTTTCACTGCGACCGACGCGCCACTTTCAAATTACTATACAACATCAATCGTCTCTAATGAAACTAAAGCAACTATAATACTTATGAAAATTAATTTACTATATTTTTTAAGTCTTTACATTTCATGCAATTAATCTTTTATCATACAATTAAACTCTTTTATCATCAGCGACTCATACATGTATTCACTGTTCCAAAATAGCAAAATTAAACACTTTCAAAGTCGCAAAGTCTAAAAATTCACGGTAAAGTAAAACTTTTATATATCAGTTTAACAAATTGACGTGTACTGAACAATTTTAAATATAATCTATTACAAAATAAGTTTCACGTTAATATTTAACCTCGCAACCTCCATTTTTCTAGAAATAGATCTTCGTTGAGATCTTCAATATCTCTTAAATAATTTTAATCCGGCCGCGTAACTTTATAATTAAAAATCAAAGTAATATTAAAAGATTACCAACCTGTCGTTCAGAGAGCGCTAAATTCGCGGCAAGTTCAGCCTTACGGCGAATCGTGATGTAACGGCTGAAATGGAACTCTTTCTCGAGCTCCAACCGCTGGTGATCCGTATAAACCACTCTGTATTTGTCTTTTGTTCGTGTCTTTCCTGAAAAAAAGAAAGATGACGAAGATAACGGTCGACATTATTACACGCTTAATATCTGCTTCTCTAATTCTTTTGTCAATAACGCGGTTTAAAGAAGATAACGCGCTTTTGACGATCACACTCGCAGCCACATCTTGCCAAGGGGTATTAATAAAGTAATTCGAGCGAGATTTGAAAACATTCAAGCAGGTAAACAATAAATCACTGCTCGAGCAAAAAGTGGGAATGGAGAGGAATAAAAATTGTGAGGAAACTATCCTGGAATATTTTGATTTGATTTCGTGGAGATTATGTGTAGAGCGCGGCTGGTGAGTTGGCAGGTGGTGGAAATGCGGAACTTAGGGGATCATATGTTAACTTAATAGATGTGAACGGTATACATATATAATACTTTGATGTGTATGTTGGTGTTAATTGTTGTGATTTGTCAAATTGTTACATTGGGTTATTGTTTTTTGTTTAGCTGTAATATTGATAGTTATTTGAGGATTGTTAGAAGGATTTGAGAGTTGGAGATTTGGAAATTTGGAGAATTTGAGATTTGGAATTGGGAGATTTGAATATTTGAATATTTAGAAATTTGGAATGAGAGATATGTACTTTGTGATTTGTGTTTTGGAAATGTGGAAAAAGATTCCAAAACAGTTAACCTCAATCTTTCTGACAGAGTATCTTGTTTGCGTCCACTGAAGGCAAAGAGCTTCCAACAATTAACGCAACAAGCAAAATAAATTGTTTCTATTAATCATGCTTTGTTGTGAATGCCTTTACGACTTATAAACATGCTTCAGTTATTTTAAAATTTGTATAATTGTACCTAATGTAATGCATTATATCTTAACAGACAGTGGGTAAATACATATAATATATTAATTTATAAACATATTCTCAAATACTTGTGTTTTTTAATTTTTAAATGCACAATTTTTTAAATTCCTAGAAACCTAAATTTCTAAATTTTTAATTGTTTAATTATCTAACATTCCAAATCTCAAATTTCTACAGTCACAAATCCGTAAATACCGAAATTTGCAAATGTCTTATTTCATAACTCTCAAATTTCTAAAGCACCAATTCTACTTTCTTAAACTCACAAATTACCAAATGTTTAATTGTTCAAATTTTAAAATCTTTACATTTGTAAATCCCCAAATCTTCAAATCCTTAAACACCCAAATTTTCAAATTCCCAAATCCCCAAATCTTCAAATTCCCAAATCCTCAAATCTTCAAATCCTTAAACACCCAAATTCCCAAATTTCCAAATTTCCAAATTCCCAAATTCTCAAATTCCCAAATCCCCAAATCCCCAAATCCCCAAATCTTCAAATCCTTAAACACCCAAACTCCCAAGTTCCCAAATTCCCAAATCCCCAAATTAACAAATTCTCAAATTCCCAAATCCCCAAATTAACAAATTCTCAAATTCCCAAATCCCCAAATTTTCAAATTCCCAAATCCCCAAATCTCCAAATTCCCAAGTATGTTAAAATTCACAATTCCAAATACCTAAATTCCCAAATTCCCAAATTCTTAAATCCTCAAAGTCTCAAATATTAAAATCTCTCCATTCACAAATCCCATACTTCCTTTATTACAAAATTTCAAAACCTCCAAATCTCCACATCACAAACCTCATAAAAATCCAAATCTTCAATTTCCCAAAAACCTCTTTCCAAGTTTCCCAATTCCAAATCTCCTAACTTCTAAATTTCCCAATTCCACCTACCCCAATTCCAAATTTCGCAATTCCCAATTTTCCAACTCCCAATCGCCCCTAAACCTTCAACTAAAAATACCCTAATACCAAAATCAAATCCCCAAAACCAAAATAACATCCACGAAATCTACAAAACAAATCTGTAAACATCTCCACAAAAATCTCTAAACATCCATACAAAAATCTGAAGGACCATCGATTCCAATAAACCCAGAAACATTCTCCAAAAGACATCCGAAGGGGCTTCGATAAAATGGCAGAGGGCAAAGCGTGTTTCGCGACGGTGTGAATTGAACGTGGCATTGAAAACGATTACACGAGTATAGTACAAAATCTACGAACGTGTAGGAAGGGAACGAAACGGAACGGGAACGAAAACGGGAACGACGGGAAGGGAAGAGAAGGGAACGGGACGGAACGAGAGAAAGGAAAACGATTAGATAAGGCCTGGCCGGCAAAGATCAAAGGCGTGCACGTTAATCCACCACTCCTCGATAAGAATGCTCGAGGCCTTCGAGACATCACGAATAAGCTTCGACCTTACGGTTTTCGATGGTACGCATGTATATATATGTAGATGGATTCAGCATGGCTGGCACGAAATCACGAACGTTACTGAAACACGTACGCTCGTGGAAAATATCAATTTCTATGTGTGTGCTCTTCTTAAAAGAGTATTTGTGTGTGGTCGATTGTGTGTACAGTGGTGTGATTAATTTTTTTTTGGGGGGTGATGAATTTTGGAATTTTGGGATTTTGGGAATTTTGGGATTTGGGGATTTTGGCAAGTTTGAAATTGGGGGATTTGGAATTTTGGAAGTGGGAGATTTGATATTTTGAAATTTTGCAACGGGGAGATCTGGCAACTTTGGAATTTTGGAATTTGGGAGATCTGGAATTTGAGAGATTTGGAATTTGGGAGATTTGGAATTTGAGAGATTTGGAATTTTAGAAATTTGGAATTTGAGAAATTTGGAATTTGAGAGATCTGGAATTAGGGAGATTTGAAATTTGGGAGATTTGGAATTTGGGAAATCAGATTTGGAATTTGAGAGATTTGGAATTTGAGAGATTTGGAATTTGAGAGATTTGGAATTTGAGAGATTTGGAATTTGAGAGATTTGGAATTTGAGAGATCTGGAATTTGAGAGATTTGGAATTTGAGAAATTTGGAATTTGAAAAATTTGGAATTTGAGAGATTTGGAGTTTGGGAGATCTGGAATTTGAGAGTTGGAATTGAGAAATTTTTAATTTTTAAATTTTAGTACCGCGAAATCTGATATTTTAGAATTTTTAAAATGAGAAATTTAGGGTTATGAAATTTTGAAACAGAGAGATCTGAGAAATTGGAATTTTGAAATTATAGAATACAGAATTTTGGAATTTTGAAATTGGACAACATGGAACTTTTATACTTCAGAATTGCAAATAATAAAATTTGGATATTTTGATATTTTAAAATTAGGAAATTTGTAAGCTTGAAATTTTGCACTGGGATGTTTCAAAATTGAAAGACTTCCGAATTGACATAAATAGAATATAAATGTGTACATAGTATAAATATGTATATAGTGTAAACGATCAAATATGACAGCTAAGAGAGGAATTTTCAGTTTTTGCGTAGCTCAGATTGCGGTCGATCGTTATCACGAGTATTTCTAACGCTTTTGCAGGAACGATAGCGCTACAACTCAAACGTACCTTGTAAAGAAGTATAAAACATGTATTCTATCGTGTCGAATGGATAGTACAGTCTCATCAAATATTTTCTAATGTACATTATTATTTGTTCAACTAGACATTACATTAAGACTCTGCAAGGTTCATTAATTATTAAGAACTTGGGTAATAAATTCTCAAAGGCTATAATTTTGTAGATTATATTTTTTTAAATTTATAAGGCTATATTTTTGTAAATTTGGAAACCTGCAAATTTAGTGATTTAAGATTTGCAAATTTGAATATTACTAACCTTATAATTCAAAAACTTAAGAATTCAGAGATTTATTACTCTCTACATTTTAAAATTTCCAAATCTAAAGTTTTGTACTAAATTTTCAAATATTAATGTTTCTAACATCACAAGTCCAATCTACATATTGTCACATGGCTCTTAGAGAATGAACTTAATTTAATGAACTAAGATTTTTCATATTTGAACATTACTAAACTTATAATTCAAAAACTTGAGAATTCAGAGATTTATTACCCTCTACAATTGAAAATTTCCAAATCTAAAGTTTTATACTAAATTTTCAAATATCAACCTTCCTAACATCACAAGTCTAATCCACATTCTACCACATTGCTTAAAGAGTACCCCACCCTGTTCTTAACATAAAAATTAGAAACAACTTGCTAATATTTCCAGAAATAAAGTTGAGTCACTCAATGTTACCAAACATAACCACCGAATTGATAAAACGACCATCAAACGAGTCAACAATTTGCAAGTCAGAAAGCACAAAGGAGTGTAAACTGCATCCATTCGCGTGTCGTACTTATTTCCGAAGTAAGTTGTTCGACAAAGCAAATATTTGTCATGTTGAGCATAATCGTCGCTCAAACTCGATGCACGTATACAAACATAAAACATCATTAAATCTTATCGACAGACGTATTTTATCTCTGTAGATTGTCATCGAATCAAAAAAAAAAAGACGAAAGAGCAGAAAATTCCAAACCCTATACGGCATTACTTTAATTATTGTAACCTTCGTTTTTAAGCTAACGATCATTTCCTGGCGTGTTTCGGCATCTTTTTATTTGTCATTATCAACCGAAAAAGAGAAAGAAAGAAGTTGTGCAACATGGAATTGTTGCCACCTCAAGTTTTAGCCGTTTGGGTTGTATCCACTTAAACTTTTACGTCCGAATAAAAAAGGTCTATCGAAATCCCTCGAGGACAACGTTGTTTGACGGGGAGAACGGTCGATTTTTCGTTGTAACGCGATTGTGTGCGAGTCGGCAAGGATTACCGGCGGCCTTTTTCATCTTTCTGATATCGGAAACCGGTCGGTTCCTTGTCAACGCACGGATCTACTGCTGGTGATCTCAATAGAGTAATTGTTACACCAGGTCAGTCATGTTCATAGCAAATCTATTGTACTCTGTTACAATCGTTTCAGTATTGCAAGTTGCAATTTTAGAGGTTACATTGCTTAGTTTTAGGAGGTTATATTTTGCATTTGTAAAGTTAGGTTATGTTACGAGCGAGTATGAAACCATTTTGTTATTTTATCGATTTCAAAGTTTACTTTGTGTGAAATTTTTTCATTGT